CAGTGGCTAAAAGCAGATGCCTAACAGAAATATGAATAGGGCTGCAATAGATGATATTTTCTTCGATATTCTTCGGATTTCCACCCCTACTTTGTAGGGTCTTACTGAGGATGAAAAGGGTTTTATGTATTTAAATACTCTCCACTGGCTTCTCTTGAATGACTAGAATGTGTTGAGTCTTATTTTGAACTCATATAGATGTATCACTTCTATTATGTTCTTGGCAAGGAGCTCCACAACTTAACTTTATTCTACATAGACAACTACCTATGTTCATTTGGAATAATAAGTTAAAAATCAGGATACCAAAATTGCATACAATTCCTGATATGCTATACAGAAGTAGCATCAGTAACTCGTTCTTAAGCAATATTCTTGCACTCATCCATCATGAGATTGCCTAACCATTTTTTGCTATAGTCTCCTAGCAATTCATGTTGAATAGACTACTGTAACTAGCCTCTAGATACTTTCAGAGGTCAGTATTTTACAGAATACAGCCCTCCAACCTGTAGTTTTAAGCTACATTTTTAGATGCTAAAGGCATGTTACATGTTCCTTTGCCCATGGTACAGAATTTTGTCATCTGAATACCCAAAGCTTTCTAACAAATCAAGGAATTCCTTGTGATTGCCTTTTTTGGTTAATTGCTTACAAGTTCTATCACCAATGATTTTATATTGCAGTCCTGTGTGATGCCTGAGCGCTTAGATCACTGTTCAATGGTAATTCTATGCCATTAGGTACTCTAAACAGTTAGCTGTTCTTAATCCATTTTATATATCCTCTCTTGATACCATATAGTGTTATTTTAAATGAAAAGAATGTGCAGTGTGTCAAATACCCCTTACATAAATCTCTTTACAATCACCTTCATCAGGCTTGTAATGGCCGCAAACAATTACATCCAGCTTGTCTGACAAAACCCTTTTTTCCTAAAATTGCTCACATTCTATGAATTATACTCATTGTTTACTTTTTCAGCAACAGAACCGTATTTATGCTTTCCCACTGTTCTGCTGAAGTTGGATTTCAAGCTATGTGACCAATAGTAATCTATTTGGGTTTTGTAGAACTCATTAGCACTGGTCTAGTATAATGGCATATGCCCAGTTAGCCCAAGATAACCAGCACTGGGAAAAAATCCCTCAATAATATTTTTTGTTTGTTTGTAAAGTACAAGTTATTCAACCCTACTCAGGCCAAAATTTTTTTTCTCAGTAGGTATTGCTCAATATACTCCTCTTTTAATGGACTGGAAAGTACCCCACTGTTCTCATATGATATATCACATTCTTTGTAAATGCAGAATTGTTATCATTTGCAATATTAGCATATTCATTCACTGAAGGCTCTGTAACACAAATGGGATTTATTTGTTCTTAATACGCTGAGTTATACAAATTATTTGCTGTAACACTTTCATCTGTGTTTCTTTTCATTGACAGTCTTAGCCTTCTTTATAATTTTTCTCATTTTACAATTCCTCATTTACGACTATTTCCTACTCCTGACTACTCACTTCTGGTTTATTTTTAATTGCTGTTTTTACTGGTGAACAGATTGGTTCTTCTTAGTAAGAATTGTTTACAAATATTTTTAAGTTGTGAAACTGTGGGATTTGGGCCAGTTGAATTTCAAAGACATACCACTTCTCATTCACATTTTTTCCCAGTGATTTTACTCATTGGTTTTCTTAATAGTGATATTTTTAACCTTTTTAATTCATCAGGGATATAGCACAAGCAAGTATTGGTTAAGTCTATCCTCTGCTAATCAATACTGAACAAAATTAGATCGTGGTTCTTGGTTTCTAGGCAACAGCTAACTTCAATTCATTTACTTAATTTGTCTTTATCCTAATTAGGTCTAAAATAGATTAACTGCTGTTTGGAACCACATCTTTAGTATCATATGCACTTTTACAAAGGCCAATGATGATTAGCTCTACAGGATTTCCTTCATAGGCCCCACAAAATGAACTTCCCCCGTAACTTTCTTTCTTCCACTATGATAAACTATTATTTAAATATATTAATGAAGAAAATAGTGGTGAAATAAAAAATTAATATTCAGATGTCAGGAAGAAGTCAAGTAACCACCTGGCATAGTCTAATGGCTTACTGGCATAGTCTCATGTTCTTCCGCTTGCAAATAAGAATAGAAACCTAACCCCTTCAGGAATCTATATTTCACTCAACTACCCTGCACTACCTCTAAAGGTACCTGGAAATTGTTTCATTTTTTTCAGAGAGAAGCTGAGATCTTGACCTTGTAATTCACTTGTTGCACTACCACAGTTTTACTTCTCCCCTACTAAAAGACTTTAGCCATTACAATTAGTTGCTGTCTGATCATTTGTTAAAACAGGGTTTAATGAAGTTGTTTATCAAAGTCAGCAGTTGACTAATCCGGATAACTGATTAAAATGAGGAAGAAGGTTTTCTTCTGCAATGCTGTGATATTAATAAAATACAACAGAGAACTACAATGTTCTACTTACTTCTACAAACATTAACTCTCTAGGTCTTAATGCTCTCTTTATTAAGTCAGCATAAGAACCAATAGCCATCACATCTCAGAGATTAAAGTTTAAACCTTCAGACTGTTTCTACCATTTAGGTTTGACCACATGACTTGCAAGCAGCCCAGAAAGAGCCTACATGCTGGACCTATGTCAGAAAACTATCATCAGGGGCTGCTGAGGCCATCACCCTGTGACCCAGCCACACGCTCAAACTATTCTGTCCTTCACAGTGAAGCAACAGAAACCATTGCCTACCACCCACTTACTCAGTGGATAACAGACACTCTCTCCTGAGTCTCCCATTTTACACTTGAAAATAATAATCCTAAACACAATGAAATTCTAAAAAGATATAATACTAAACCTGAAAAGGTGTCATTTTCTTACAGACAAAAATTACAAATTACTTTATCAGAGTGAATATGCAAAGTTGAATATTTAAACTTAGGTTTTCAGTTTTGAAATTTAATTCAGTGGAAGCATGGGTTTAGCAACTCTAGAATAGGCTCGACTTACTGGCATGTTTTCATGTATGTGATTGTTTCTGGTAGTGACAAGTCAATTAACTTATGTTTCTCGGGGGACTCTATCTCACTGCCTTAGAATAGTGTCAGAATAAGTTGTTTCCTATACAGACAAAAGTTTCATGCCTACGATGGACAGCTGCAAAACCAGAAAAGATGTCTTTCTCCAGGTTATCTTTTCCATGTCAAGATCTGGTATTTACAATAAAAAAATTATGAACATGAATTTCAAAGAACAACTTTGGTTGGAAGGAAAAAAGTCATGTAGTCCAACCCACATTTAATTCAGAAGGCTTCACGAAGTCAATATAAAACTCATCAGACAAGTTTGCTATGTTATTACATTAAGATGTTTCATAAGCACTTTTGAACCCACTAGTCTTCTAGTTGAGTGCAGTTTTAGCTATAGGATGATCTGACTTAATTCTGATGCACGTTTGCAGGCTGAAGGAACTGAATTCTACAAAAACAAATTACAAAAAATCCAATTTTTTTGTAACAGGGGTAGAATATAACACTTGTGGTTACACTTGTGGTTACAACGTGGTTTAGTTTTTTCTCCTCCTTACATACATGGATATTTACCTGATGCTATTGTTACCATACAGCCATGTCAGCATTTTCATATATACGTAAAACCAGACATTCTCCTACACTTTAGTATCGTAGTTACTCTATAACGTACAACAAACCACCACACATACTAAAGAGCGGGAAAATAAAAAAGTTAATTGTCATCATTTGCACCAGTACTGTTCTAAATCTAACTTTTAAATCACCACATGACTTTTTATTGTCACATATTTTTGTTTATAATTACTATATTTGCAATTATCCACCTTGATCCAAGACTGCAGATTTATACAGTGGAAATCTGCCTACCAACTGTAAAATAAAAACTGAATTTTGCTTCTTAAGAGAGGTCCCATTGCACAGATTTGCAGATCCATTTAGGGGAAGTATCACTTACTATATTTTTTTAAATGTTGTAGTTCTCCAGAGCTATACTACAGTGTGAAAGGAAAAAAATATGTGGATAAGATAGAATCACAAGAATTTTAAACATGTATGAAAAGACAAGCAAAATACTTGCAAATCCAGTCAGAACACAAGGGAAATTAGTCCAGGCAAAACTCACAGGTTTTGGGATAATCTTGCATCCATCAGTTTCCTCAGCTTTCCTTTATGGCTATGCTGAATACTATTAAAGGTGTTCTCACATATGTGATTTTCATGTATTGCCTTTTCAGGACACAGAAGAACTGTGGCCTAAAACTGTAAGTGTCTATGAGAACTAGAAATTAGTTAATTATGTGGGCTGGTAAGACTGCAGAGTTAATCTGTTTTGGCTACATCTAACTGCTGTGGTTAGATGTAAAATGTGTCACATTTTCCATTTCAGAAACTGATTAATCTCACTTTTTCCTCCCCGGTTTAAATGCTTTAAAAGAAAATCAAGAAATAAAGTTGCACCTGAACATTCACAATTGTCAGGCTTTTCCCCCCTAAAGCAAATTGACAGCTTTAACCCAAAGTGAGTGCTTTTAGTTTTCTTTTGCTAGAAAAAAAGGAAGTCTTTTGAGTTGACCGGGCACATTTCTTATTTCATTATTGAACAAAAAAGTAAACACACCAACCATGTTTACAGCTATTGTTCGAATGTCTAATATGTATTAGATAGTAAACAAAATTAAAGCTTGTTCATATACATGCTGTAATACTAAACCCAAAGTAAGATAAGATATCCAAAATCAAGAAAAGTGCACTTGTGATTTACAGCTTTATTTGGATGCTGAGAGTTGCCTTGTAAAACTCATTTTTCCTGATCTTGCAGAAAACTTGTAAAATAATTCCTCAAATACTTTCACAGTCCCACAGCTGAAATCATTAAATCTATTGCACCTTTTTTGTAGCACCTCTGCATGCTACACTGGAAAGGAATAGGAAAATTTTCAATTTACTTTTATCATTCCCACCAGGGAGATCGTATTTTGTTCCTTCTTTATTTGTATCTCAAAATACTTTACAAACCAACTGAAACCATTATAATTGCTCAATTACAACATTTCAATGTCAGTGTTGATATAATTTCGAAACCAAAGACTTGACTTGCGATCATCAACAAAAACAAAGAAGTGGTGGAAGAACTGCTAAGGTCATAGATTTTGGCTGTTTTTTTTCTTTTTTAATTATATTATATAAGTATATAAATTATATAAGAATTTAACATGCATCAGAATGAAGTCTAAAAGTATCACACAAACATCTCTGGTGTAAAACTTTTTGGGCAGGTTCTCAATCTTGAAATTTGTCAGGAAGCTAGACTGAACCCAAACAATAACAAAAACCAACACACTTCCTCTCCATCAGAGACACGGGTCAATACAATAGACAATACAGAATAAGTATGAAACTGTTTCTTTTATTGCTAGTAGTGTCTTTTTATCCCCTCCAGATTTAAAATTCACTCACAAGACACAATTTAAGTACATCTATTAAAAAAGAACCATGGCATCAAATCCCCATATTGATTAGTATTATTTCATAACAATTAAAAAGAATTACCATCCAAATCCTCAGCTTCTACACATCTCAGTTTTTTCCCTGATGTGTTGAATTTTGTAGTCGTATGAAATTTTTTTAAAAAATCATATTTTTATTTTTACAATTAAAAAAAATCATCAAAAAATGACACAATTTGCCTAGAGTGAAACATAGTTAAGATGTGAAATACACTGATATTTCCAGCTGTTCCATACTTATATGCCATTACAAAGGAATCATCCTTTTACTAAACACATAATCCCTTACTCAATAAGAAAGCTCTCTGGTTTGGTTTACGCTCCAAGAAATTTTGTAGCATAAGCATTCCATCCAAAGATCCTCCAGGTTTCAAAATGAGGTTTCTGTATTTCATCCCAGCCTGAGGGAAGGTAAAGCAGAATGTTAATACTTCTTATCGTGCCAACTGCCTCTTTTTCTGTATTTTCTGCATATTTAAAAATCTACTTATGATAAAACAACTTTTCTCCTTCTAGATTTCATAATATGAAATCAGGATACACCACAAGTATAATTTAGATCTGCTGGAAGAACTCAAAAGAGCAGAAATTCAATCAATTCTTGAAGAAATTATTTTTCTTGTTGTTTTTACACTGTTTTGGAAGCCACAATTATAACTTGTCTGGAAGACATTGTATATAGCATAACAAACATACAATGTCCTCAAAATCTCCATTAATGGATTATCCCTGTGACTGACTGGAAGGAAAAAACCCATCTTTTCTCTCTTAACTGATTTCTCTTTCTTTAAACTCTGTTTGGAGAACAGGGATGATAGTCCAGAGACAGAAAGCTGTAGTACTGTAGAATGACATGCACATATACAATACATATTATATGCATAGTAGTATATATAATACATGCAAACATGTAATGAGACTTAACTCAGGTTTTACTTTCAGGAATAAACATTATTGCTTCAGAAGAAATGGATTCCTTTTAAAATACGAATGAAGTTTCTGAGACAACAGGAAGTAATGAGGGATTTCTTAAAAAGAATTTGTATTTTAAAGAACATATCGTATCTAGAGAATTTTGGGCTTCTGAGACATGACTATAGATGAGAAAAAGTTATTTTGCATGGAGATGTCCCAGTGCTTCTGATACTGAAGAAGCCACTGGTTTTCCTTTTAGTCAGTATATATACATGTATATACTTCCCCCACAACTCAAAGCTATGGGATTACAGGACCACATTGCTTCCTGATACTGTAAAAACTTCCTGTACTGTAAAAACAAGCACGGGTCTTTTTAAGTGATGGACTTCCAAGACTTAATTGAACTACCATTTGCAGTCTGAATTACATTAGCCATTTACAATTGTCTGAATTACTGCTGCAAAAACCTACAAAATTCACTGGAAAAAAAAATGCACTGAAGCACTGCTTAAATTATTTGGGTTAGTTTCCTGAACATCAGCAGCAAACAAAGATATTGTTCCTTGTAGATTAAACGTATTATTTGAGAAGACTTGAATCTTTGCTGTTGTCCCTTCAGAGCCAGAACACTGCTCAGTTCTAGGGAGACCAAAGGTTATTTAAGATAATGTGGAAGAACTGAGGAGTGTGGCAACTGATTAAGTTAGTAAAGTGTTTGCTGAAGAATTTTTATAGATCTAGTCTCTGAGACTAGATTGTATAACTGTTGTTCAAAACAGGAAGAGAGATTTTATTCTAACAGGAAGAGGTAAGCCAAATTTCTAAGAGCCCTAGTCATAACACCGTAACAATCTTTTTTTCCTGCTATTCTGAAGACTACTCTAACTCTAGACATAGTGAAGTATGAGCACTACAAAAATCAAACAGTTATCTAGTATTTGTTTATAAAACATTGTTTGTTGCATCTTGTGGAACACTAGTGCGTTTAGATGAAATGCTTCTTTGCGTTGAAGAGAACTAATATGAGAAGATAGTGTTGAAAAGGGAGGGAAAAACTCTCCGCTGTTACATCTGAAGTTATATCAGCAATCAAGCAAACTGTGAGCACACATACAGTAGAAAGCAAGTAATATAATCAGCAAATAATCAATTTTCTTCCTAACTTAGCCTGGATAGCAGGTTTCCCATTAAAAGAGGCACTAGTTGTCTTTCACCTGTACCATAGAAATATTCATGCTTATCATACTTAATTTATTCTCAAAGCCTCCCATACACAGGCAAAGAAAATAAAAATTCTCACAAAAAATCAGAACAAAAGGCATCCCCCAGGAGAAGTAAAGGTAACATTGCAATTCTGGCAAACTATGGCTTAGGGTTTTGACTACACAATCACTCAAAATAAAGTTTTGACACTGGAAAGTACAGCAAAACAAAAGATCTGTGATGACACTGGAGGGGCATATCTGTGTCAGAACAGACAACTGACACAAAGTCCCACAGCTTTGGCACCAGCACCCTTACACCATCTCTCCCAAACAGTAACAGTTATAAAAACCCAGGAAGTCTGACCTCTCCTGAAATGCCATTTTTAGGATCCATATGAACAACATTTTATAAAAAGTTATTTTATTCTCTCATTTAGCTTGACACATCTTCTCTGCTGCTCTTATTTATGAGTGACAAGATTGCCAATGAACAAACAGGTCTGCTTATTCTCACATGTACCTGTCATGAATCCCTATCCCCACAGTATCAGTCCTGATCTCCAAACTCTTTGTCACTTCTTCTCTAAAACTGTTAAGTTGGCTGCTTTTCTCTACAAAACCCATTTTGGTTTTACTGGCCTAACCACTGCCTCAGTTTTATGGTCTCCACCCCATCTGCTCTTTGGACTCCTCTCTTCATTCAGATCAAAATCTAATCTTGTTTACTGTCACCATCCTCTAGAGTGATGGACAGTTCTAGAAGTTATGGTTCCTGTGAAAAGGAAGGGGAGGAAAGAAGTAAAATTTGAGGAGAGGAAAAGGACAATCATGCATTTTTCTACTCTTTCTTTTATTTCTCTCTTGTGTACCTCTACTGAATGGAAGAACTAGAGCTGGCAGCTGAATCAAGAACACAGTTAAGAGGATCAAGACCAAAAGGCCTTTCTCATGACAGAACTCATCTATCTCATCTGCAGCATCTCAACTCAAAAGTCTATAATCTCTAAAAAACTTTGCCAGAATTAGCAGGACTATTAGCCACATCACTAACCTTTCTTTCTGCTCAAGGCAGAACAGATTGGAGAGCTACACAAGAAAAAAAAAGGCCTAGTAAATCTAGAAGCTATTAATGATTTGGACTTCAAAAGGGACTTGGGAGTAAAACTAAAGAAACAATTTCTGCGTTATGCTGTGCTGTGACAGAAAAGCTCTAAATAAATTCAGTTTTCTAAGTAGTGATTACATAAAGGAACCTCACATTGAGGTACACAAAATGTACTGGAAATGTAAATGGAAACAGAGCACTATTATCATACAGCTTTCACAGTAGATGAATATGCATCTGCCCCTGCAACAGAGAAATGTTTTTTCAGTCTAAAATTATAGAGGAAGGCATTAGACAAGGCAACATGATGTCTTAAGTGTTATAATATTAAATGTATAATGTGGTAAGAATTGTATTAAAATGCAAGTGCTCTTGAAAATTTTAAGATTATTTTATAAAGTTACTTATACACCTTTTTTTGTTGTTGATCTGAACTTGACAGGTGCAGAAGTACTTGAGATGTTATATCTATGGATCAAGATGGCAATAAATGCTGTTTCAGAGACAAAGTGCAACAGAAGTGTTTGTTAAGAAGTATTCATCACCTACCTCTGGATTCATTATTCCTTCTTGTTTAAAGCAGCTATAAAAGATATCCATGGAAAACACTTCACTCCACAGGTATCCGTAGTACTGACCATCATAACCACCTGCCAGATGTCCAAAAGTAGCTGGCATGTTTGTTCCTTGAAAAGTAGATGAATATTAAGGCATTTAAATAAAATACAGTTGGGTTTTTTTGAACACTCGAACATTTTTTCTTGAACACTTCAAGAACAAATTAATAAGGAATTTATATCAACTACTTTGAAACCTTTAACATAAAGTGTCTGAGTATCCCTGAAAGTATTGAACCTACTCTGCTGACTACAAAGGAAATTCATTTTCCCATGTTAGGCTACTTGTACCCCCAACACAGATGTGACAGACCATCTAAAGTGGAATTCATATCATGTCACTCTAAAATATATCCTGCAAAAGGTTAACTTTTATATTTGCCTTAATTTTCCTTCAGAAAAGATCATTAAGATAATCCTAAGTTTCAAAATAACTATTTGAGCTTCATAAAGTAGACTATTTCATAAACAACTCTGGGGGGTTTGTATGCCAAGCATTACTGGGAAAGAATGGCATGTTAAATCGAACCATTTGGACATGCTGTATAAAAGCTTCATAGTGACATACCTGGAGTGGCAGGAATTCCTAGAATCTCCATACAGTATTTAGCATATTCATCTGCTGGGTCAACAGATATCTTTGTATGCAGTGCCTGGTCAACTTTGCTCAAAACAATCTGACGGAGGGTTAAAAGGCCTAAGTGGGTAAGAACATTTAATTAGCCAGCATCAAAGTAGCTGGAGTTTCATTTGCATCTTTCCTTCAAAGATCTCAACATGCACATTAAATTATTAGAATTTTAACCATGGGAAAAACTTGGGAGTTTCAGTGTTCCCATCTGAATTGCTCCAGTTACAGAGAATTGAGAAGCATAATTTTTATAAAGGAATTGTCATTATAAGCTCCATCTTTTCAAATGTTATTTTCCTCACAGATCAAAACTAAAATAACGCAGATATTTTTAAAGCACATCTTAATATTTAAAATAATGTTTTCAGCTGCCATCGCTTCCCATGTACCATTTCACTCTGAGCTTCAACAGATGGTAGTTAGTATATCCACCCTAAGACACTTCAAAAAACACCAAGAACTGCTGCAGCAGCTGCTGTAAGCTTTTTTTAAGAAGCTACAAGATATGAACCTTTACCCAGACAAAATGCTTTGCAGCTACAGAGTCTGTACAAGCCACAGGGACAAAGACTTCTTGTTCAGGATAGGAAAGCAGTATGAAATAAACAGCAGTGTCTAATGACAAATTGTACTATAAATGAGAAGCCCTGATTAGAGGAACAAAGGGGTGGGAGTGATAGAATAACAGTGATAGGCAATGACATGAGACTACAATCTCAGTTTGGAGATACATGTAAGGTAGTACAAGATGGGGCAGGAGAAGAAAATTAGGACCTTAGTTTGGGAAGGCAGTATATCTGCCGGGAAAGTAGAGAATATGGACTTAAGGTTCTGGATGTAGAAAGTAAAGAGACTGTTTGATTAATACAGGGCTACAACATTTCTGTCTGGGATACGTTATCTATATTCAATAAATTTGAAAACAATTTCCACGTCTGTCAAGTGTCATGTACAAATCAAAATGTAGACAATACATACAGAAAATCTGACAGTGTATTCACTTTATGCACAGTGCCTGCTCTGGATTACAAATAAAATAAAAATCAAAAAACCCCAAACAGACTCTCCCTCTTTCCCCATCACACACACCGCCCCAATCACACCCCCCATCCCCAATTTTAAATGAACAATGATGGTAGGTAAAGAAGCCACATGGAGAGGAAAAGTATTTTAGTACTGTGGGTGGCCTGGAAAATCAGAGCTGCTGCTGTCCAGGCAAAGAGTGGCAGTGTCATCATAGCCTTTATTAATGGGAGTACCCAGACAAATAAACCCGGAAAGACGGTGAGAAGCGTACACACAGAAGAAATTGAATGGGCTTGCTATGCTTATCAGTTTTTTTAAATTACGTATTTTTGTACATATACTGTGGGGAGAAAAGGCAGAGAGATACCTGTATTAGCCAATCTAGAGGCAGCAAGTTTCTCAAGGAGAGTGTCTCCAACATGGGTCTCATCTTTATAATGTCTTGACATTTGCTGCAGTGGCTCTTTTTCCCACACCCAGTTCTCAAACATTTGTGAAGGTACCTCTACAAAATCTGTTTCCACATTAGTTCCACTAAACCTAGCAAAATCAGTCTAAAAGAAAAAGCCATTGAATTAAATTAAAATAGGAGTCATGATTTCTAGCAGAATACAAACTTTCAGATGTCAAAATTAATTGCAGAAAAAGGTATCATTTGAACAGCATAATAATAGTTTAAAAATTAAATTTAAAGAAAGTAGAACAAAAAAAAATCAGACATAAGACTATTATCAAGGAACAAACTAGATTTCTCATTGGTTATTTACTGCATTATCTGCTGGTATGGAGCAGTACTTCCCTTTTCTTAATATTATTGATTTTTATCTTTTACATTATGACAGCAATACAAATGTTTCCATGCTGTCTTGTCACAATGTTATATTTTGTCAATTATTATAAAAGTTTGTTATATTATCCCAAAGTAAAATAATAAACTCCAACTATACACTTTAAAAGTGTCAACTGTGTTACAGTTCACCACACCGATTCACAGACTTTACTGGACCAACTTATCCTATTAAGCTTTGTCCTATTTGCCTTAATTCATAAGACATGTGGCTAACATATAGCTCAATTATTTTAGCCAGTAATACTTGGATTGGAATAAATAAATCCTAGCAACCTTATCCGTGAAAGGTTTCTGAATCTGACACTTTATTACTGATAGAAGAATCTTTCTTCTGAAAGCCAAGCACATTACAGCTTTTTATTTTTCACTTCAGTATTGTCAATAACTTCATATTTAAGAAGCTCCCACAATACTAATTTTGAGGACAAGTTTGTACAGTTAAAAATCTTTATAAAATATATTCCAAACCCAAAATATTTCTAAAAAGTCACTTCTGAAAGACAGTTGTTCAAATGCACAGAAGTTATTTGGTCTTATAGAATCATTGAATAATTAAGGTTGGAAAATACTTTTAAGATCATCAAGTCCAACTGCCAACCCAGCACCACTGCCATGTTCACCATTAAGCATTAATTCATGTCCTCATGTGCCATATCCACATGTTTTTTGTAACACTTCTAGGGATGGTGACTCCACCACTCCCTTGGGCAGCCTGTTCCAATGCTTTACACTGCTTTTCTTTCAGGGAAAAAAATTTCCTTTTCAAAAATATCCAATCTAAACCTCTTCTGATGCAACTTGTAGACATGTCCTCTCATCCTGTCACTTTTTACCCGGGAGAAGAGACTGACCCCCACCTGGCTACAACATCCTTTCAGGTAGTTGCAGAGAGCAACAAGATCCCCCCATAGCCTCTTTTTCCCCAGATCCCTCAGCCACCCCTCACAGGACTTGTATTCCATACCCTTCCCCAGCTCTGTTGCCCTTCTCTGGACACACTCCTTGTCCTTGTCTGGACACTCCTCAATGTCCTCCTTGTAGTGAGGGGCCCAAAACTGGAAACAGGACTCGAGGTGCAGCCTCACCGGTGCCAAGTACAGTGGGACAATCACTGCCCTGGTCCTGCTGGTCACACTGTTTCTGATATAAGCCAGAATGCCCTTGGCCTTCCTGGCCACCTGGGCACTGCTGGCTCATGTTCAGCACTGTCAAACAGCATCCCCAGGTCCTTTTCTCCTGGGCAGCTTTCCAGCTCCTCTTACCACAGCCTGGAGTGCTACCTGGGGTTGTTGTGACCCAGGCACAGGACCCAGCATTTGGCCTTGTTGAACCTCATACCATTGTCCAGATCCCTCTGTAGAGACTTCCTTCTACCCTTGTCTTGTAATAGGTCTACCTCCTCTTGCCAGACCAATTTTATGGATTTTTCCCTTCTCATCAACATACTAACAAAACAAATATCCTCATTTAACCATACACATTATCCATGCATCACACTTAACAAAAAACACTAAACATTTGAGTCAAGTTACTTCAAGAGCTCTCCTTCCTAACAGAATAAACAAATCCCCTCCCTGCCCTGATCTCACTTTCCAGCAGTCTCTCTCTCTTTTCCAGCATATTACACAGAGTATCAGACCTTTACCAGCAACTCACAGATTCCCTCCCATATTTAAATGTCGTTTAAATGTCAAGTCTTAACATGCTTAAACAAATAACCATATGAAGCAAGACAGTGTTTTGTACACACTAACTCCAGAGACAGGATGTTCTTACCTGGGATTAGCAAGTCTGCACACATGCAAATAACAATTTACATACAATTTACACCAGGACTAAGCATGGTAGCTATGCACAAAGAGCAGTGGGAGAGACAACTGGAAAGCAGGCCTGTCTGACCTGTGTGCAATTCCACTGCAACTAAAGTACATATGCCATGGAACTGTTGGCTTGGGCTGCCCCAACTGGACTCCGCAACAACCAGGCACATTCTCACTGCTTATGCTGCAGTCAGTTTTGTACAGTTTCTTACCAATGCTGAACGTGTTTCATTTATAATCACCTTCTATATAGTCTAGGTTTTATTTCTCAATTTGTGGTATAAGAAACACCTGTCATAATGTGAAGATGATAAAATAATCACTATATTTTTACTTGCAACATGATTCAAAAATATCTAAGCAAATTTAGTTTCTTATTAACTCTGGATTTAATATATGGATTTGGGTGACTTTATTTATTTATTCTGCAGTCCCAATCTCCAGGATAATGATCAAGAATCTAAATGGGGGTCATACTTCTTTAGTTTTATTATTTGTTACTTGTTTATACAGAAGATGAATGAAGTGCTACACAAAGTCTGGATTTGTAGGCAATTATGTGAATTCTTTGGTGAGTGAATACTGACATCTCTCTCTGAAATACAAAATTTTCATTAAACTAATAATAAATTTATCATCTGGTAGAATTAATTTTAGATGTAAGTAAAAATGAAACCAGAAATATTACAACTTCATTGGCACCTTGATGCAAAATCTGAAACTAACTTCAGTTCTTTCTGGTCACCTATCAGATAGCAGAGCAGAAAAGTACAAGGGCTCAGGCATTCACGCTTTTGCTATCAAGAGTGACAGCATTTAACAGTATGAAATGCTGGAGGTCATTTGGATTCAGAAATTATTTTCATTCCTAGGTACAGGACCCTTTTACTTCTAATATCGAGAAGTGCAACTTGATGTAATAAAAAGCCCTCTGACAGAAACCATGACGGAGCACCTTCCTCACCTTACACATCATCACTGATGACTGAATAGATGCCTGCACGATGCAAATGCAAAAGTATAAGTTTCTATGAAAATGTTTTTCATAAGGAGCTATATTTATTGCTTCAGCTTTAAATAAAAATTAAAACAGAACCCCAACCGGACACTGTAAAAAATAACGAAATCATTACAAACCTGTGCACATATCTGATGCATCACGTGACCAAATTCATGGAAGTAAGTCTTTACTTCATCGTGTCGCAATAATGATGGACGATCCAATGCCGGTTTTGTGAAGTTGGTTACCAGAGCAGCTACAGACATCAATCTGCTACCATCAGAAAGGAGACAGCCGGGCTGTAGACCAAAGCATGCTGCATGCCCATACTTTCCCTCTCTGTATAAGAAAATAAATCACATGCCATCTTCAAACCTGCTCACCAGAATGGTTAAGCCTATTCAAGAACAGGGACATTCAGCCAGTGTCTTTACACATAGCTTTACACAGAAAAATTACATGACTTCTAAAGACTCGCTAGAGTGAGTCTCTTAAGAGCCCAAGGGAAAAAGTGCCCTCTGTAATCTCATACTCAGATCGCAACAATTTCAGATTCCCAGCAGCGTTTACAAGAATCTGATTTTTACTATAATACTGGAAATATACATACTTATGATGTCCATTCTGTTTTAAATGGCTACTGTAACAGCAAGGACTAGGTTGTGTTTTCTGAAGCAGTATTTTTTCTTTTATTACAGGAGACAAAAGAATACAGTGCATGGCATTTTTCACTGTCATCCAAGGGTTTAGAGAAAACTTATCTTGAAAATTTTGCACTAAACTACCCATTTAACTACTCAGGTTAAGTAAAAGGAGTCTTACTAACACAGAGCTTCAGCAATTCACACGACACACATAAAGGTGGAAGCAGGCAAATAGGTGAAGGAGATGGGTACATTACCCTAAAAAGAACAATTTATGTACTATTGTATTGACTAACCTAATTTTCTTAGGCCAGACAAGCCTTAAATCAACTTACATTAAAAAAATAATATCAGCTAATTTGCTGATATATATTGCTATATATAAATTGCTAAATACTAATTTAACAAAACCTACACCAAAGCAAACAAAAACCCAGTGACAGTCAAAAAGGACTAGCTCAGAATAAACTCTGTCAAATCAGTCCAGTTTCATAATCTCTGACAAAACACAGATGATTATTTTGATAGCTACAAAGAGAGTTGGAGAGGTAGAGATCAACATGGAAGTAAATTTCAATGTGTGTTCAACAGGAATCTATTCTTGCTATTAATCTATTTGTTATTTTCTTTAGCAGTTTGGCTAACAGGTTAAAAATACACATATAGAAAAACAGAGTACAAGATACACATATAAGGTGTAAAGAGGAACTGAAAGAAACTAGGAACACTCAACAGACAGAAATGTAATTGTTCAACAAAAATGAAAATTAAAATAGCATTAAGGTAGGAAGGAGAAAAGTTCATAGATTATGGATATTATGGGTAACTGACTAAATAGTAGTACTACAAAAGAAAAATGAACAAAATAGCAATGCTTCATAAACTGAACAGAAGCGAGAAATATGGTAGGAAAAAAAAAATTATAAACAATCGGAATGCAGTCCAGAGCACTACTTAATGAACATGAACACAGTAATAGTCTTGTTAGTGGGACAAATATTTTTACTTCTAAATGCATTTAATTGTAACCACACCAGCAGCAACTCACTAAGACAAATTCCATTTTAAACACAAAAGTAAAACACTAAGTCATAATTACCTGGGGTAAAGATCCAGATAGAACTGCCCTAACATTTCTCCTGTTGATTTATCCTTTACTGCATACAGAGTAACACTGTCATGCCAAACATGAGCACTTTCTACTTGCTCAAATACAAGTCCCAGCAGCTTCTGGTAGATATTCAGTAAGCCTTCTGTAACAGCCTCAATTGGGAAGTATTCCTTCAGTTTTTCTTGATCTATAGAGTACTTGAGCTCTTCAGTTTTGTTCATATAATAATGAAGATCCCATGCATTGATTCTTCCATCATAATCAAAGTTTCTTTCTTTACACTCCTGTTTCTTCAAACCTAGAATGAATTCTCTTTCTTCTTCAACCAGTGGCTTTAGCTTCTTACTCAAATCATCTGAAAAAAAGATTGCCTTGGAGTCAAATTCTATGTTACTATAATGTGTTTACCTATTAAATACACTCAAAACTTTAAGCATATGCTCCAGAAGTGGAAGCTAGAGTTTGACCAATGCATTGACCAATTGTCTGTTTTCTTGTCCTAGTGAGCCTTAACTGCAGGCATGCTATAAGTGATACAGTACTCTAGGTAGACCTAGGAGAGCTGTGAAGGGTTTTGGTAAATTTAGATTTTTTTCAAAGATATCAGGAATGGAAGGTAACACTAGACCCTTTGCTTGAATCCTTTGATTTTATCTCATGTAATCTCAGTTTTCTTAATATATTTCTGCAGTAGCAGCAAAAAACTACCACTAATATTAGTTACTGCAAGGGCATCACAAAATTCAATACTTCTAGCTAAAGTCCGATAAAAGAACAAGAGACTCAAGAGTTCTTGCTTCTAGACTAGCAAAGTCACTGGGTATTAATTTCTATGGTCCAAATTTTTTCCAACATACTTTTCTTAGACAAGAAAGCATCACTGCACTATGAAGCACACATATTGAATATAAAATATTTAACCTTACTGAAACTTCTGTAAAGTACATACTGTTCTTACTCTCTTTTAAGTATTTCTGGACTATCAGACACTTTTTTCTTTCTTAAGAATTCAGATTAATGTTCATTGTTGATACCTAGAGTGTAAAACCCTGGAATTGCCACTCCTCTTTCTAGGTAGTCTGTAAGGCACTATATACATTTACATGACTGAAATACTGTTTGAAGCTTGTATTGTGCTAAATTCAGAATGTGTCATAAGAAAGAATGCTCTTTGTCTTAGCTGTAAGATCAGCTTATGAACATGGATTTAAAACATGAATAGATAGGAACAAAGTAGAGCAAAATATACTGTCATGCTTGTAGCTCAGGATATATCAAAACAACTAAACTAAAGGTGACAATTAATTCAATTAACATTTTCCCTCTGTGAGAATTACCACAAGGTATGATATCTCTGAACAAAAAAGTATATGATCTCATATGCTTCTACTCTGACAAAGCAACTGCTAGATTTTGAATGTAGCTTAAAAACAAATGAAAAAACACAGTATTACAATAATATAATGGATATAAAAAGAGTCCAAAATACTTTAGGTACACTTAAAAAACACCAGGTAATTCAAACATTTAATAACTCAAAATTACTTATGAGTTCATTGTCAAATAAATGGATAATTGGTATCACCAAATATGGATCTGCTCTCCTAAAGGGGCATTTCAGAAGAAATGCAACAGATTTACAGGTGAAGGAAGAGGAGCATTTGAACCTCTTTATTGATACATAAACATAAAAACCCCACTAACAACAAACATACCTTATTTTTGTACTGAATTATTTGGGAGGGGTATTTGTATGATACATCAATATACACTCCTAAGTGGTGTTAGGACACGTTAATAAAGGAACACATGCTACTCTGTGGAACTACGTAATTCCAGAAAGCAGAGGTTAATTCCATGCTCAAGAGTGGTCCCACTAACGTCAACAGGATGACTATAAATTCATAAAATGCTCAATTTGAAATTTTCAAGATACCTCTGTTTTCAGATCAAATGCCACTGCAGGGCTTTTGAATTCCAGATTTAATCCATCATTCCAGATTTAATTTTTTAATTCAGATCATGGGAGTTGCATCATCCCATACTCTAATATTTCACTATACTTAATGCAATTGAATCAGAAAAAGACACTAAGGCTACAAATGCACAAAAAATGGGAATGAAAAGCTGCAACTCTGATGCAGCCTCTTGAACTGATAAAACTGGCTAGGCTGCACATATTACTTTGGTTCTAAATTAGGATAACGGCATTTTGGGGCAGAGAAAGACACAACCACTTGCTTATACTGGCTGTCACAAAACAGCTGTTTTCAGATTTTTGCCTTGTGCTTCCCTGACTTCAGCAACTGCATTTGTACAGTTACAGTATAAAAAACATACGTGCCAGAATGGAGGCAGCAGAGTTCCTTTTCTAGCTAAACATGATGGGTAATGTGATCCAGTTATGTATTTACAGTCATCTTGGCTGAGGAGTCATGTTGCCACATCAAATATAAACGTACGGCTTATAAATGAGAACAAACCTAAGAAGGTTGTTACATTATCTGTGCTCTTTGCAGTGTTTACCTCCAGGACAAAGTTGGCATGTGTATTATAACCAAGAAGCTCTGCTACTTTTGCCCTTAGTGGAAGTAATTCCTGAAGAATTTTTGTGTTCTCCTAAAAAAGAAAGTAGGGAAATTTGTAAAGTGAAAACAGAAAACACATGTTATTAAAACATCTGAATAATATCTGAAATCCTGTGAAGCAGTAAACATTTAAAATGAAACACTTTAAGATATAAATATAAAATAACCTAAGTTTCACTAAATTCTTGGAATTCTTTTTTCACAGCATTTGATTGCAGGGAGTTAGTATTCTAGTTGATCACAGTCATTATGCTCCCTATTATAATTTATCTGTTTTAATTAATCAAAATGGATACCATTTACTTTTAGGATACTAACAAATCTTTGACAGTTGTGAAGAGTTTATTTTCTTTATCAATTACTTAACTGTGAAAGGTAACAGTGAAACTACTGACAGAAGGCTTAATTGCTTGTTAGTGATGAAGACAGATTGTAAATCTATTGTGCCAACATTCAAAGCTTGTTTGTAGATTTCCCTCTTTTGCCCCTTTGGCAATAGCAGTCAGAGAAAGATCTGAAACACAAAACCCTAGGTCCTGACCTAAATGTGCTGAAGGATCCTTGAGAAGCTGAAAATATAACTGTGTAAACCTCTAGTTCTGAAAAAGTGAGATTTCTCAGGGGAAAAAAAAAATCAAATACTAGATTCAAAGATTGTTCCACAGTTTTAACATCAAGTTAAACATGTGTGTTGACTTGCAAAGTGTTCAGTTCTTGGTGCCATTTTATCTTCTCTTGTATTCATCACATTTCCCAGCACTTCAACCACAGAAGTTCAACTCTGCCATTTTTCTGTAATAAATAGTTGGTACAACTGTCTGAATGACATATTCTCTATTTTTGTACCTATCTAGTTGTGTGGTCTCACCAGTATAAAATTAAATTAACTGCAAAATTACTTCTTCATTTTATAAGGCATGTTTCCGAATATTTTTCAGATCATTAAATACATCTTTTATAAAAACCAGGAGGGCTTTTTTTCATCTAATTAAAAATCTGATCAATATGCAATGTGTTAATTTCACATTTAATCACCTGTATTTTATAAGTAAAACCTGTGCTTAAATAACCCCTCTCATTCTGAAGAATCCCAAAATACTATAGAAGCCACAATCAGACATCCTTTTCTCTGAGCAAAGTGTCAGTAAACATCTGCAGAACACCGTAGGGAAATGTGATAAAAGATCATTAACATCTATTAACAGCACCACTTGAACATTAAGATACGTACACACACATACAGAGAGGCAGATCATCGACTTCTAAGGTCTCTGGACATCAGAATAAAATGGAGCAAGGAACTGTTAGAGACCACACTGATACGTTTTGATTTAATATTAATATGCAATAGGCAGAACTCAAATATAACATCCGAATGTCTTGCTCCATTTTTCAATTCTGTCATTGCACTGCAGAACAATCAATACACAACATACCTCTTTGCATCTCGAGTTAAAGGCAGATTCCATTTTTCTCCTTGTTTCTGAAATGCAGCACTTCTTCATAACAGGAAAATAGTGGGGATACTTCAAGGTTACTTTATATTTGTCTTCCTCAGTCTTCTCTAAGCCACTAATAAAGTCATCAGGAAGGCCATCTATGGGATACAATTTAATGAACAATGATTACCCAAACTACCTACTCCCCCATTTTTCTGAGACTGTTGCATTTGTTTCGCTGCAATCTATTTTGACATTAGAAATCTCCAAAGAAATAACATCTCTCCTTTTGCAATTTGTTATAGTTTTATACTTTTTTCCTTTTTTCCTAGTGAATTTTCCCATAGCAAATCTCTTGCTACTAAGCTAAGACTTCCTTGTTGGGCTAACCCGGGCCTTAAAGACTGCCCTGTTGAAATGCTAAATGACCTCGGCACACGAGGTAAATTGTGCAAGCAAAACTCCATTCCCCCGGTAGCCACTGTTGGGGAGGGGAAGGGAGGCCTAATTTTTTTTTTTTCCCTCTGGGGATGGCACTTTATTATTCCCTGACTCAGAGAGCGGTGCGGAGGGGGGTTCATTTTTCGGCCGGCTTCCTCTGGCCTCGAGGGGCATCCCGGTTCACCTCCGCGATTCCTCACGTCCTGCTCTGCCCACTGCCTGGATTTGCCTAGGATTCATCGGAAAACGGGAGCCACCTGCGGAGGAACCTTTGAGGGGAAAGGTTGCCTTCCCCCTCCACCCTTCCCATATCGGCGGCAGTCTGCACCCATTCACGAGGAAGGGGATCGCAGCCAGAGCCAGCCTTTGACAGCACGAGTTTACAGGGGAAGCGCCCTTTCCCCTTCCTTTCCCCTTCCCCCTTGGCTGGTGTCCCGCCTCCCCGGGCGTGCCTTCGATGGCCCCGCTGCCTGCCGAGCGCCGGGCCCCGAGGAGGCGGCGGCACCAGGGCCAAGCAGCGCCCCCCGCGGCCATCGAGCGCAACTGCAGCCCCCGCTGCTCCGCATCCAACAGCGCCCCCTGCTGTCTATGAGTGCGGCACTGCAGCCCCGCCTCCCGAGGCGCCAGCGCCCCCTGCTGGCCGTGGCTATAACCGTGCCGAATTTTTTCGGTGGAAGTTGGCTTATGGAATTGTCGCTTGTTCTTTTGTGTTATATATATATATATATTTAGTAAAGAGCTGCTGATTTCTTTTCCACACCTTTTCGACTGAAGCCTCTTAATTTTGAAGTTATAATTACTCACAGGGAGGGGTTTGGTTTTTCTCCTATCCCACCCTCCTTAGCAAACATTTCTGTCTCATTAAACTGAGATACAATTATTTGCTAAAACTTTTTCAAATTCCACTAAGCAAAATAAAATTTGGAAATGCTTGCAAGCAAAAGAGAAATATATGTAAGGCTACCAGAATGACATTAAAGAATCTCTAATGTTATTAGAGCATATTTTATGCCATGGCCTTAAAATAATGAATCCCCAAATTCTCTATCACATGCAATTTCTAGCTTAGTTTTTAAACTACAGAATTAGAATGTTAAAATATATTGCAGGGTAAAAAAGCTTTTCCAATAGTTACCATGCATGTAATACACAGGGAATGGTGGTGGAGAACTAAGAAAAGGAGCAGAGTAAAGTTACGCTAAAAAAGGAAGACAAGGCAAAGACCTCTGGAAGTAAAAATCTACTAAGACATTATGAAAACCTGCAAAGGATAACACCAAACTGACTCTGAGGAAGGATTAAAAAGGAAACAGAGAAGATTGGAAAACAAGCAGATTTTCCCTTGATCTTACTCATGGGGCCAAAGCCAGCTGGCTGGCTTTTTTTGCCTTCAAGTAAAACTGGAAGTTTGAAGACGTGGAAACAACAAGCATACCACTTACCAAGTTCTTCCTTAGAAAATACAAGAAATGTGCTCTCCTCATTCAGGTTTTTGTTAAAGTCTATACACAGCTCATTCAGTTTTTTCTTCATTGTCTTTATTTCCTGTATTGGATATAAACTGAATTTAGTGGAAAAGCAAAAATCAAAGTTGGTAATTTCCGTCCTCCACATGAATAGTATTTCACTTTTTCCAGCTAGGTTCTCTACTAGATGACAGTAAATCAACACTGCAGGTAGTGTCATACTTCACTCTCCCTCAGTCTCCCTTTTATGTTTCTTTTGGCTCTTAGCAATATTGTTGCCAAGGAACTCTGAGTCAGAGCTATCACTCCAACATTCCAAACTCAATTCAGCAGGGACTGGACAGATTAAATACATTCCCTGAATAGTTTTATGTTCTAACATTCATTTTTTTTTTATTTGAAAAGCCGAATTACAATTTTACATGTAAAAATATCAACTAAAATCATTGAGAATGAAGGGAGTAAAAATACATTCAACCTACTGAAAAACACACTTTGGAATTGTACAAGTATGGTATGACAAAAGAACAGAATACCCCCAACAGCACAAGACCACTCCAAAACCATTTTTAAAATCTTGATATTCACCCATCTGAAACATTTTCTAATGTATCTTATATCAAGTTTCTATACCTTACAATCAAGTTCAAATAAACACAGTAGTTACCAGTAGGAGAATGCACACACAGAAAGAAAAAAACCTTAGCAAAGACTACCATCAGCCAATTTTTTCATCTAAATATAATTCCATTATTATCTCCTAAAGAATTTCAAAATATCTTCAGAGGCATCAGTTACCCTTAAACTATGAAAATATACATAGAACTGTTCTCACTAACTGAAAGATGTGGATGAAGAATGACTATTTTCTACAAAGGGTTAAGTCTACTCAAGAGTCAAAAATAAAGGTTGTTACATATGTATGACTCAGAATTTAAAGAGAATTATGTTGGCATCTGGAGAAGGCTAGAAGATAAGGAGCCTATGTGTATGCCTGAAATACCGATACTGAGATAGCCGTGGAGCCAACCAAGGACTGTTGGTAAGAACAGCCAAGGACTTTTGTTAATAACATGCTGTGAAAAAGAACGAGATGTGGCTGGAGAAGGGGCCGTATAGAATAAGGGCAGTCCTTTTCTGGGACAAATATCCTTGTTCTGTCTCCTTGAGATAAGCAAAACACAGTACAGCAGAGGCATAGAAACGAGGTGGAGAAGTGGGCATGGATTATAGCGGGGGGACAGGAATCAAGACTTCAACAGACCTCCAATGCCTTACCCATTTCCAGAAAGGTCTGGAAGAATGTCCTATGCATGATTCATACTAATTCATTCACACTAATTCATAGAGAAAGTGCAAAATTTATCTCCAGGGCACTAGGAGACTTATCTATACAAAGGTATGCCCACCAAGTCCCTGACACCTTGTCAGCTGAATTGATGCTGGAGCCTGGATTAGTGATCTCCTTCTCCCTTTCTCCTTTCCCCTTTCCCCTTCTTTAATTCACCCCTCTCTCTGTCTTTTCCCTTTCACTCTATCCTTTTATCCAAAACCACTGCCATATGCTTATACTAGGAGGTCATGGACTAATACCAATTTCCAAGGCAAGTCTGTAATTTACTAATTAAACTTTGTAAGCTTTTGTGGACTCTCTGATTTTGCCATTCCCTTCAACCACAAACATCTACAAGCCTTGGGTGCTCCTTTTCCCTTAAGGGTGGGATGCCATAGCATCTCAGATGCTGTCAATTTTACTTCATCATTTTTGGAAGTGACAATTGCTTTCATATGCATGAGTAAATCCTCTCTTAATGGAGCCAAAGTTCTCCGAGTGGCTTGTTTCTTCCCTTTAACCTACTTCGATTTTTTTTCAGGTGAAATGCTAAATCCTGGATACATTTTACTACAGTGTTCAATAAATGAAATTAAAAAAGGTGTGTGTTTGCAATAGTTAAACATATTTCTGAATGGAAGTGCAGACTAACTAGTAATATTTTTGAGAGGTCTCTTTGCTAGGAATCTAATTTAGGCATTCTCTGTAATCAGAATATATACCAAAACTCTTTCAGCTAGGCTTCTTTTACTCTCAAAGGCTAAGAGGCAATGCATACCACTGAGTACCATGACTGTCTAGCAGACTAAGAACTTTAACATTTAAACACCTTAAAGTGATTGAATTTTAAAGGATGGATCTGCAACTAAGAAGAGTTAAGATCAGAGCAGTAATTCAACAGGTTCAAAAGCATGAAGTTCAAATACATGTTTAGTACAGCTAACCAATCATAATTTTATCCCTTCAACATTTTGTAACCTTTGCTTTATAAGCAAATAGTCCATATTTACATTCTGCACTTCTTTAGGAAGATGGAGTCCGTTTCTTTTTGCCACGTGGACTGATTTCTCTAGATATCGCTTTGTTTCAGGCTTTACATTTTCAAGATTGCAGTTTTGCTGAAATGACAGAACAGAATACTTGAATTAACTCAGTGTTACACTGTTACACACATAACAAACATTAGAAGGGTCTGAACAGTGTTGTTCTTTAGAGCAGTTGTAGTAAAAAAGGAACATCCCTGATTTTAGTGTGAAGGACTTCCCAAAAACAGTTACCTTACTTAAGCTTTCTTATACACACTTCAAGAAAATCAGTGGTATAAGGTAATACTGTACCTTATAAATCAGAGGGATTGAAAAAACTCCCAAACGATTAGATGTGTCACTGAAGGTTATCAGATGGCATAATATTTGAGCATACACATTCTTTTCTCTCAGAAACAATCAAGCTGTGACAACAAATAAACAGAATCACAGCATATTCTAAGCTGGATGGCACCCACAAGAATCATCAAGTCCAAATCTTAAGTGAATGGCCCATATAGAAATCAAACCTGCAACCTTGGTGTTGTTAGCACCATGTTTTAACCGACTGAGCTAAAAACCATATTTCTATGTTATGCCATTACAAAGACTCTTGAATCACCATTTCCTAAAGCATCATCAATAAGAGACAGGACAGTGTTTGCAACAGAACATGGATTGGTCCTGTGCAAGTCTTCCTTCAAATTGATTACAGCATAACTGTTTAACTCAGAAACTTGCTATTTTGTCCTAAATCAAAAATAATGCTATACACCTTTTATCTTCCCTCATCTAAAAGGAATATTAAAAAAGTTATTAACTTGGTAGAAAGTTCATATTGTATTTAAGCTCACGTTCAAATATGAAGCTATTGGAATTAGCTGTGACTTGTCTTAACAACCTCTCATCAGTTTACCTACATACAAATTAATGCTTGACTAGCATCTCTGAAAAGTAAGGATGTTGAAACATGCAAATTTTATGAAGGAGTCACACAATTGTGGACAGCTGTCAACTAATGACTTGTCAGTACAGAATACCTCACCTCCTTAAACAGAAAACTCAAGAGACAGGAACCTAGCTGTATTCCAAGAAAAAAAAAGTACAAATAAGAACTCTGAAACAAACTTTTCTATCATTTAAAAATAATCCACACAATAACACAAATAGTATCTACTCCCACCAGTGCCCTGTTCATAAGACTAGAAAATTTGTGGAAACTTGTTTCTAGAACCATGAAAGAGTTTAGAATGGTTTTGTTTTTACTCTGCACCTAGAACTCTTATGCATATACCAGTAGCCTACATGCAAGAATTTATAACTCTCGTGAAACAAAATTACAGTTACTTCACTTTGTGATAAACTAACTTTTCTAAAGCAATAGGCAGACTTAACTTAGTTTACTGATACTATTACAGGAATTAAGAATATTTTTTCTTTTTTATGTTATGTGTTTACAGGTAATTTTTATAAGAATCCATATTCTCATGGAAGGATGATCCTACTACTATAGGTCACCACATAGCTAAAGTCAATGGCAATTCAACCAGTGAGGGGAGTACCCCTCACTAGACCTACATTTTTTGCACCTAGCACCTAGATGTCATTTTTGTTTGTTTATTTTTAAATAAAAGGATGTAAATGGTAAAAATCTCTTTTTGGGAGGAAAGCAACTGGAGAAAATCATGACCTCTGTCCTATCTAACTCAAACCTCATATCTCCATCCTCATTCCCAGTAAATGTGTAAGGCCAGTCACACAGCACATTTCATAACACAAAGATTAAAAAAATGCTATTGCCCTACTCTCTGCAACACTAGGGTCTCCTGTTGTATTTCTGGCAAATAACACTCCATGACATTCTGCTGCTTCATGAAGATCTTCATGTTACCAAAAGCACTACATCTAGGAGTGTCAATGCTGTAATACTGAGTTCAAAAATAATTGTAACAATCAGAATTTTCAGATATTGTTTTTCCACTGGACAACCCAGTTCCAGGGTTCTTTTTTTTGACCTAAGGGTAAGTATGATAGAAGTAGCACAACTTCAAAATGATAGAGGTGAAAAATGCAGACACTGCCACTATATTAACATTTATATTGGGTTAACTGTGCTGCAAGACTCAAAAACAGAAAGGCTGAGGAAAAAAAATTAAGTACGCTAAACTCTACAAAACACCACTGCTTTTTTAACAGTAACAGTTCAGGACAGAGGATTGTGAAAAGTCTCACTGAGCTATTTAGGCACTGTGCTGTATCTCCCAGTCCTTCTACTGGATCTATGGAACTGTCATGCTCCTGAAAATTTCCTGGGTCCAAATCCAGCAAAGATTTTAGGTGGAAGAACGGAATTCACAAACACTAATTTTAAGCTCTTAAAGCCAGTGAATATTGTCTCTTTCTAAGGCTAAGACAGATGAAGATTCTTTTGGGCAAAAAGAGAAGAAAACTAAGTGTTCTTCATCTTTCTCTTGATGATTACACATTTCTCCATATACTTCAATGCTAATTAGCCTTTGTGAAGTTTATCTGCATCACAAATATGCTTAAGGTAAGAATGATACACATTTAGAAAGACATCTCAGGTCTTTATGGATAAGCAAGCCTACAAACCTTCACAGGCACAGGAACCAAGGGTGCTCTGTGGCCATCTCTGAACTTTGGTCTGATCAAGATGGTCTTCATCACCTGAATTTTCTTTGATGAACAATTTCCACAATGAAATACTAATTTTGAGTATACTCCGGAAGTTTTAGAATTGTTGTGTTTGATGATTTTATATACCATTTCATACTTCTTTTGGACAACCATGCTACCTTACTCGAGGAAGAAATCTTCAGGCAGAGTAAGAAACAAAACCTATCTGGAATTCCATAAACAAAACCTGCAGCAGCTGTTTATAACAGGCTGTTTCCTGAGGGCATGTGGGTGGAGAAGACCGGCAACATTCTTAAGCATGCCTCTGCTAGTCAGCATGTGCACATGTTAGGAGTAATAAAATTTAAAATGATGCTTTCACTATCAAATTCACTTTTACTCCAGGTTTCAAACCTCAAAATGAAAGTCTTCCAACAAATAAGATCTGAAGCATATTCAACAACATAATGTTATGCAGGAATTTTTCCCCCTAATGTGTTGGGAAAAGAAAGACACTGCATTATTTTAATATTTTCTTAAATTAAATACAAAACTCTCAATCATTTTTCCTCCATCAACAGTCCTTAAATAAAGCATAATCTAGAAAGAATACTAAACAGTTGTTAGCTTGTAAAACTTTAGTCCTCATTAACGAAAGCAAAAACATTCAGGATATCACTGGAATCAAGCAGATTTACAAATCTCCTAGTGGACTGTGTTATAAAGGACAGGGAAGTGTGAGGGCCCTCATTCTCCTCATCTTATTTTAATCTGGCCATGGTGCAGGACTGAATTCATCTACCTGAACTATTAAATCTCCAGTGGGGCAATGAAAAACCTGATTTCATGACAGTGTTCTACTGCCTTATTTGAGCTGATAAAATAATTTCAGCAGAAGTCTGAAGTCTGTTTGTGGAAGTTCTTTTCTTATGTGTTCCTGGAGCCTGACTTTTTAACTAGGAGATTCCAACAGGGAAGGCATTAGAAATTCAGCAAAAATTAACAAAAAAATGTACGATTTGGAAATAGCAAGATTTCACCAGTCTAGCATTTTTGGCAATTTCACAGTTGTGCTAGGGCAACTACTTTAACAGTTATTATGAAGTTAATATACGCTCAGAGGTTGCATCTCTGGAAAACTAAAACATGCTTGCATGATGCAGTTAAGCCAAGAAAAATCTCTAAAAATACTGAATGGAGATTTAAGCAACAATTCTAACTGTTACAAAGGTCAAATATTGACACAAAGGTAAATGACAGGAAAACACTGAATGAACAAGTTAAAAAGAATTCAAGAAAGCAGTAGAAGCAAGTAACAGTAATCAGTTTTCACTAGCTACTGTCAGATATCCTTGTAAATTAAAAATAGATAGATTCCCTGATATCGCAGATCTGCCCTAAATGTATCTGCATATATGATACTGGATGTTGGAGAAAACCATAGCAAATAATAAATACATATAAGACCATTTAATTACTAGCCACAGAGCAGGGGAAGAAGAAACAAATCAACATAAAGCACTATCTGCCAAAACACGACTGAACATTCTCAAAATGGGGCTATTATATACCTATACAAACACATAAACAATACCCAGCAAGAGCAGAACATTTGAAAGCTTCCCTGGAAAACACTGCAAAAGAAGACTATGGTATTGGAAGGCACTTTAATAAGGTGCTGCAAACATTATTCTGGTTCTCAGTCATCAGTGCAAAAAGCACAAACAACTCAAAGAAGTAGGGCTCCAATATCTTATCAGCATTACAAGAAGGTTAAAAATTAGTGGGCTTTGAAAGGAAAGATTCACATGTAAAGCATAGGAAAAAAATATATTTTAGTTTTCAGATTTGATAGCTTCCTTGTATTATCCTTATGTTAGACTTTTGGAAAATTACTACTAAATGTCACCAGACATATTTGAACAAACCCAAATATTCTTCCCATTTAAGCTACAAAATCATTGTTACAAATGAAGAATACAAGATACCTAAGGGTGCTCAATTAGAAGGGAAGCTAAATAGAAAAACAAAAGGGATAGAAACTAGTTCAGCAGGGAAAGCATCTTTTGACACAGTTTTATTTTGTGGTTGAAGCAAGAGATGAACAAAAGTATACAGTGTAGCTGTCTATAATTAGCAGGCCAAAAGAGATAATTTCAGAGGTCACTTGAAGTTATATGTTCTCATCAATCTTCACAACTTAAAACAATTCTTAACTATTTCAATAGAGCAAAATTTTGGACACAAATTGAAAAATAGTGTAAGCCAATGTAAATACACTGCTATATCGCCTCTTCCTTCCCTCTTGGAATGAGTTCAGGGAGCTCAGCCAACAGAAAACAAAAAATTCTTCTCCTGATATGTTTCCTTCTGTTAGTTTAGCTTCCAGTTTTACCAGTTCATTGGAAGACTAAAGTTAAAACTATTGGAGAAAAGGATACACAGACCTAGATATGGTCTGCAAAGAGTGGAAGCACCAAGCACATTGTTTTCTGTTGTATAGCTGTGTCCCACCAGAAAGATTCGACTGGCATAGACAGAGAGGAAACAGAGTGATTTTGAAAAGCACTGATAATAAGAAAAAATTTTAGATACATTTAGATAGATATAACAAGTTATGCAGACATCACCATGATTTACCTGTAAATAAACAATCTTCTGAAACACATCTTCTCTCCTGCTCATCTCCACATCGAAATCAGAAAGCTTTTTGTCAGCTTCTGTACTTGCTAAGCGTACCTCTTTGTCAGGTGAAATGTGCTGGGGAAAATCCAACATGCTTCTTTCCACTGTTTAAATAAGAAGCAATGAACACAGAAGGCTAGACATGCTTTAAGGATAAGGAACTTTCCCCCTTCTGACATTTACAGAAGACATAAGAAACAAACATCCAAAGCAACCTGACACTTCAGATCAGGCTTGAAGCAAATAGTTTATATTACATATAATATATATATATATAAAAAATTATATTACATACAAAAATGAATAGGCAAAAGGACAAAACCACACACCACAGTAACAAATAAACACATTAGAGAAGCTATCTACTACCAAAGCTTAATTATCTCATTGTCTTCTACAAAATCAACTGAAAGGTGTATAAATATGAAACAAATAATTAATCTTCCAGAAGTCATGTAAGTGAAGACTGACGTTTCATAGCTGGCACAGATGCTTCCATGTTAGCACTTAAAGTGAAAAGCTCTGAATCTTTCAAACATGCCCATCTGTCCTGAAGTTATTTTTATATTGTTATGAGCTAAGTGTCAAATCCCCGTGTACTGCACTCTTCCGTGTATAAGGCAAACACAGAAGACACTGTCTTTCTGTTCTGAACTTCTAGAAATTAGAAGCTGAGTAATATTACTTTTTTAGAATATACTTTTGAGATTAGGTAAATCCTTGCTTATTAAAGGAATATTACATCTTACAATGCGATTGAAGTAGAAATCAAAAAACACACTTTAGAGTAAGAACATTTTAGCAACAACATTTTAGCTTGATTTAAAGCTTTGTAATTTTATGTAATGGTGTAGTTGTTTTATCAAGTCCTGAGATACTCTCAGCCCTTCAGAAACCTTTGGAATGCCAACACGGGCATTTGGTTCTTCTTTAAGTCCATAGGAAACTTTCCCCTTCCACATCTTGCCCTCATGCCAAGATGTTTAAAAATTATCAGGTGAGTTTGAGCTCCTGGTGGTCTAGTGGTAAAGGCGCAGCGCTGTCACCGCCGAGACCCGGGTTCGATTCCCGGTCAGGGCCACTCCCGGGCAGGTGGGGCTCGTTAGCCCTTAAAGGCAACCCACCTACGTCCTGAGGACCTCACTGCCACCGTCCAAGCTCGCTTGGCCCCGGCAGATGAACCTTAGGATTAAAGGGTGGGCTCAGTTCTGCGCACACTGTGTCTCACCTAAAAAATCCAACGCGCAGGCTGGAAGGTGGAAAGACCTTCCCCGGATCTTCGCTCGCGAAGACTGGCCATTATTATTATAAGATGAGTTTTGGCAATTTCCAATGGACTTCTAAGGCCTGTTGTCATCTCTGGCTTTTGGGGTAATGATTTCCAATTACTAGGGTAGGCCTTTAATGTGGAAGGAACACTCTGGCTTTAAGTCTAAGGTTCTAATTGAAGTCTTGCTGTGGTAATACTTATTATATGCCATGGGCTGTTTCACAGTAAGTCATGATAATGTCACATACAGCGTTGAAGATTAGCATTAAAAGCTTAAATGTGACTCACTATTGCAATAGCGTAGTGCAAAAAGTATAGCATAGTGAAAAAAGTATATCTTGGATCAACTCTTAGTGGCTATGCTGAGAAGCTGATAGCCACTATTTTCCAAGGCAAACAACTTTCTCCTTCTAATTTAATTTAAAGAAGAGAGTTTTACACCTTGCTGGAAAGGCTTACAAAAATTATACCCAATACAGTATATTTAAAACTGAATCTGGCAGGAAGTTGTTTGAAGCAGTCTTTCTGCCAGCATAAATTCCAGCCAATTCACTGTATGTGCCCAAACTGCAGTTTTAAGTAATGAGAAAGCCAGGCTAATATTACAATACAGTAATTTGAGCTGCAGGCTGATGCTGTTTTCTAGTCAAAGCTTTTCCTCCAAGCCAAGGTTGCTGTTTCCAGCACTTCTGTGGCTACTGTAGATTTTTTAGAGTATTTAAAAGAACTTGACATTTATTACACTTATATTTATGTAAGAACTTACATTTATTACACCACAGACACTGCACGCTGTCCCCTGCACAGAGTTGGAAAAGGAAATGTAACTGTTTGGAGCTTCACATGCAAAAAGAAACCAGGGGACCAATGCAGTTCTCTAGATGTGCCAAAGTTATCAACAGCAGTTTTGTCAATCCTTATTTTTGTCTCTAGAATAAAGGAGTAGAACTTTGTAGCTGATCATGTTTCATATTGCTGAGAGGTCCTGAAAGATCATTATGATCAGAGGACTCTTTAGAGGCCTCTACACACTCTACACAATAACAGCAGGGATAAAAATTGTAAGCAATTACCATTTTTTCTCAATGTTTCTTTACATGTAGATGGAATGCCCCGCGGAAAGAATCACAGAAAATATACACTAACCTGCATATTCCACTTCTATGTCTGCCAAAGCCCGTACAGTATTTTCATGTGTTACTTCTTCAATATCAAGCATCCCGACTCTGTCATAGACATGCTTTGTCTTCCTGATCAGTTCTTCTGTTCTTGTTCTAATTTCCTCTGGTGACAGGTCCCATCTCAAAAGGTTTTGGCCTGATGCTATGTATGAAGAAGCTGTAAGCTGGCTAGTAATTTCTGTTCCTAATGTCATCCTCAACACAAGCAGTGGCCCAATGGACCTGGAAGTATAAAATTGATCTCTGCATAGCAAGGTTCCAGTTCAAGCGATAGTTTATAGTAAACACTAAAAAACCCAGCATCAGCATATTTTTAGAAGTAAGAACAAAGTCCTTTTTAAAGCCATAGCTTGTCCAGCAAGCTGTTACTTTTATGAATTAAGTCTAATTTTAAATAGATCTGCCTTCCATCTTTTCCATTTAGGGTATGACTAAGTGCAAACAGGGACAAAAACTTTGCTATTGACAAAACCATACAGATTAAGTTACTACTCACCCTTCTAAGAAAAACAGAATTGCAGTTGCTGAAACTCCACAGAAATAGACAATATTTGTATTTTTGAAGTAAGGAATAAAACCTACATACTGATTTGTAGATGATGAAGAACAAGACTGCAAAGACGCACAACATAAGACATATCACTTGATCACGTTCACTATGGCAAATAATTTTATATTTATACAGGATGTCTGCGACATAATCAACATGTGTGGAAAACTTCCAGTTTCTACTCACTCACAAATGTGTTCCTTTAATTATTGTGGATTTTAAATAGATGGTTTCATTCTTTTGCCAGAAGAGGTATATATATTTACTGGAATTTATGTACTATTAAACCTGATTATATAAATCAACTGTATTTCAGCTTTAGCTAGGAGAAAGATTTACACATGCAACCAATCTTAGTGTGCTGGGCAATCAACGGCTGCCTTTTCACTAATCTTTTTGGCAGTATTAAAAAAGTGACTTGCAGCAATGAATCCAAACATGTTAAGAAGAAACTGGTTTCAGAAGTACAGGCTTCTACCTTTCCACTGCAACAAACCAACACTCAGCTTGGTTGTACAAAGGCGAAGGACATAGAATCAGGCAACTGATTGTACTGGGACTAATAGAAACCCACACAGCCAAGAAGGTGTCCACTCAGTGACTATATTAGTAGTTCAGTTATATATGAAGCAGTTGCTGAGGAAGATAATAATTTGTTGGTAATTAAAAGACAGCCTGCATTCAAGGACTAAAACTTGCTGCAGTGTTTACTATCACAGGAAGATCACAGGAGCATCACATGAGAATCTCTGGCTGTTAGAGACTTATTATCTGTCTTCCTATTTCAGCCTCATAATTAAAAAAAATCTTATCTTGTTAATGTAATAATGATAACTTAAAATTTTCAACCATAACTAAAGAAATACACAGAGAGCTTGCTACAAAAAGAGATGCTTACTTAATACTGTCTTACATTAAGTAACTTTTTCTCTTAATGCTAGCCACTGTACCTGTATTGATTTTATTGTAAAACCTGACTGGTATGTCCGTAATTGCATGAATAGGTTCTGGCATACAATGCAGAGAGCATAAAAGGATAGGCAATTTTTGCTTGAAGGAATAACAAAGCAGAAGAGTGAAATGCCAACTAACTAAAAAGGGCTGTACATATGGCTTCTGTCTGAAGGGATGACTTTTTGTTTAAGAATGGGAATTTCTCTAGAAATAGCTTACCCAAAATTATTTTTATGCAAAATAAAACCAAAAGACAACATTTCTATCTGCACTTTAAGTTGAAATTTTATTTTCCTTTTTACCACATATTCTTCAAATCCTCCCATAGCAGTGTAGGCAAGTTGTTTACTTTTCCCTCCTACTGGCAAGCAGAAACATCAGTGTCCAGAAATACTGATGATTTCACTTAGAAAGTAAAGTCTGAACAAAGAACATTTGTTCCACCTCTGTTCTTTCTCTCTGATACCCACTGAGTTGTGGCATTAATGCCTTAGTAACTTCTCTACTGGACTACTGAAACTTGGAATCTCAGAAGTCTATGATAAATGAAGCTGCTCTCATGAAAGGAAAACGTTAAGTATTAGCATTCTCAGAATGCATTAGTTTCCCACCTCCAAAACTCACTGAACTCTACCTTAAATCTACAAATCCATTAAAGAACATCATTATGTCACAAACAGATTCCCACTGGACTGTCTAGTTTTTCATACATTGCTAGCACAACTCTAGTACAGCCTCTTAGAAGCTGAAGGGGAACCACCTCAAAAATAGCTTCAAGGCTCTGAACTCTACCCCACACCACCCACACCAGAGAATATCAGAAAGAATACACAGTATTCTGAATTAAGGTAAAAATAAAAGAGTCAAAGGAAGACAACAGCGTGAACAACACAAAAGTATGCTAAAGTGCAGGATATTAAACAGATGCTCTTTTTTAAGGGAACCTACTGCTTTCTGTCATTTAGTATCTTCACCTAGATATGTAGAAAACAGAGCCCTGTCAATGGCCACTTACACATTATCAAAACCAAACACTGTAACAGGCACAGCACCAACAGATTACATTCATTTCAGCCTGTCCAATAAAATTCATTAATAATTAAAGTTGGACCAAATTAAAAAACTTGAATGCAGGGTCCCTGATTACTGTATGGCACTATTTTAAAATTTTACTTAAAATCAACTTTTTTACTATATAGTCTAGTTGCATTGAGACATACACAGATAAATTTGACAGCTGTATAAATTATTGTCATAAATCCCAACAAGTTGTTGTCTGCCTGCTTGAAACAGGAAAACACAGACCTGCCCAGTTTTGAAATGTTGATACCTTGTCTCCTCCTGCTGATAGGAAGAAGCAGTAATTTATGTATATTATTTTTAATAATAATTGGTAGTACAAACTCTGAAAGACCTCCAAGTTTTTCTAGCTGACCAAATGACAGCGGGCCTTCAAAAACTGTAACGTAACATCTCATATAACACCAGTCACTACATGTAATTCTTCAAATAATGATTTACACACATGTTGATACCTTGCTACCAGTCAATCAGATGTCTTTGTACTAAAGACCAAACTAAATGACATCAGATTAATGGAAACAGTGTGCAAGTAAATATACATGCACAGGTGAAATCCTGGCCATTTCTTTCATAGCTTAGTATTTTGAGTTATTTATCCACATAAATCTATAAAAAAATAAATTCCCAAAACTCCATGTACTATACTGCAATTAAAAGTGATAATTTACTAACTTTACCTTATTTGTTCAAGAAAGAAACAAAGAAACAATGCCAAGATTAAATACTATAAATAGACTACAAAGAAACAAGAAAGAAGAGTAAAACTATAGTAGTAGGATGTTCAAAAATGCTCTGTAGTTACATTTGTCATGTTATTAGACAGAAAATACTAAATTGTATCACTGAGGGAATCTTTAACTTCCCAGATAAAACTGGAAAATAAATTCTATTAATAATGGTAGGAACCAGATGCAACAACAATCGGTTTTCTTCAAATACTGAACCAAGCAGATAGAATTATTATTTTAGGCTTGCTTTTGGTAAACAGCAGCAACACTAGGGAAGAGTTAACTACTGCTTGGACTGAGTAATCAGGAGTTGATTCAACTTAAATCAGGTGGAAGGATGTGTGCCTTGCATAGACTGCTGCTAATGCCTGAACTGTCAAGTTCAAACTGTTTCAGCTATCACACTCCATTTTCTG